GCAGTTAGACGTCAGCAGGTGGTATAGTGGTTAAGGTGCTGGATTCCCACATGGTCGCGTGCAGTTCAAGTCCCAGACTCAGAGGCTTGGAACTCAAAGCGGGCATGTGTGCAGGCGTGCACAAGATCCCAAGAGGGGGATACATGAGAAGGGACGGCTGCGTGGCCAACCCCCACTGGGGTGCTTTCTTGCTGTCTCTCTGGTGAGTGCACAGGCCCTATAGCAAAAATCTCTCTCAAAAAAAAGCAGCAGTTAGTGGTGACCTACTACCTCCTGACTCCCCACCTCCTAATTGGCCCCCAGATCGACTCCGCTGGCCTGTGACTTTACACTGCTTTGCTCTTAATTGCCTGTTGTTTAACTCATACCCTTAATAACCTGATCATCAAAGACAGGAAGCCTCAGGAACTCTGATCTTGGGCCAGCAGGTGGCATAGTGGTTAAGGCACTGGATCCCAAATGGAGTTCAAGTCCCAGACCTGGAGTCCTGAAAAACTCCAGGCACGTGTGCTTGCGTGCCCAAGATTCTGTAGAAATTTTTGTTTGTTTGTTTGTTTTTGCTATAGGGCATGTGTACTCGCCAGAAAGACAGAGACAGAGAGACAGAAAGCGAGAAATCCCCCCCCAGGGGGATGGCCACGCCGCAGTCCTTTCTCCTCCATTCTTTTCTCAGGATCTTGGGCACACACACACACTCGCCCAGTGTGAGTTTTAAGCCACCGGGTCCGGAATGCGAACCGCGGTCGACTACGTGGGAGTCCAGCGACATAGCCATTACACTAACTGCTGGTTCCCTGCCCAAGATTCTCAGAGGAGAACGGAGGAGAAAGGATTGCCGTGTGACCATACCCCGCCCCCGGAGGTGATTTCTCATTTTGTGTTTTTCATCTCTCTGGCAAACGCACACACCCTATAGTAAAAACCTCTCTTTAAAAAAAGGGGGGAGGGGTGAAGAAAACACTCAGGGTGCTTTTGCATGCATGCCCAAAATTCTGAGAGGAGACTAGAGGAGGAGGGATTGCAGTGTGGTTACTCCCCCGCAAGGGATAT